GTCGAGTGGAACAATGGCGGAGGGCAGTGACGGAGTGGAGTGTTGAAGGTTTAAAAACGTTTGATGAAAGGCGGGGTAACACTTGTTCCGAGTAACAAGTTCACCATAAAATAATAACAACACACGCAAGTTAAATGGTGTGATTCAAGGCATTCCCTGATGTCATCAGTTAACACTATATTCTGCTTACAGACACCGGTTCTTTCTCTTACACACGCATCAAGTGGGGTTTTTGCGACTCTTTTTTTTTTGTTTGTTTGTTTTTATTTTTTAAGAAAGTAGTTAATCGTTTTAAAAAATACTAAAATTATTTATCTTTCCCATTTCGAGTTATGCGTATGAACCGCTGGACAAGGTCAAAGGTATCAAGTGAATTCATTAACGGATGCCATACCTTATATAAAAATCGTTAATCACAGACTCCAAACAAATTTCAAACTTGTTCTATGCTAAAAGAAAATAAAAATAAATAAAAGGAAACAACTGACAACATTTAAATCAGCCATTATCTAAGTGCGGCCCGCAGGCCACATGCTATCCTGTTTAGCTTTCGCAATGGCAGGCCTTATATTTTTTATTGATTTGTTTTTTTATGATTTATCAACGTTTTACAGGTTATTTAAAGCCAAAAAATATATTTTATGATTCATCAACCTTTTACAGGTTATTTTAAGCCAAATAGATTTTTTATGATTTATCAACCTTTTACACGTTATTTTAAGCCAAATAGATTTTTTATGATTTATCAACCTTTTACAGGTTATTTAAAGCCAAAAACTATTTTTTAGGATTTATCAACTTTTTACAGGTTTTTTATAGCCCAAAAATATTTTTCTCATTCATCAACCTTTTACAGGTTTTTTAAAGCCAAATACATTTTTATGATTTATCAACCTTTACAGGTTATTTTAAGCCAAATAGACTTTTTTATGATTTATCAACCTTTTACATGTTATTTAAAGCCAAAAAATATATTTTATGATTTATCAACCTTTTATATATTTTTTATAGCCAAAAAATATTTTTCTCATTTATCAACGTTTTACACGTTATTTAAGGCCAAATAGATTTTTTTTATGATTTATCAACCTTTTACAGGTTATTTTAAGCCAAATAGATATTCTATGATCTATCAACCTTTTACAGGTTATTTAAAGCCAAACAGATTTTTTATGATCTATCAACCTGTTACAGGTTAGGAACGTCAAATATTGCAGTACTGGGCATTATCCTGAGCATATTTTATAGCAAATAATTGGTTTTTCATTTTTTTTTTTTTTATAGAGCTACGCCAACTTAACACTACTTACCGTAAAATATCTGATACGAAAATTCAGATACCGTCCTTTTGTTGTGGTTCATGCTTGCCAGGTAGGTCACGGTCACTTAAAATGCATGAATTTTAACCCTTCCAGATTATGTGCCATGTCCTTTCAGGACGTAGGCGATCATGGCTCTCCACCTCCCTCTAAACTCTTGCAGCTCTCTACAAGTTCCTTCTCTCTGCTTTTTCCCCCAGACAACGTTCTCTCATCCACTTAAGCCCGCCAGGTATGACACGCGTTGTTTTCCCTTGTCTCTCATTCCCTCTATTCGACACGTGAGTATCAGATTCTCCAGGCCCTCATTATGTGTCCCAGAAAATTCAGCTGCCTCTTCCTGATGTTAAGTATAAGCCTCCTCCTTGATCTCTAAGATCTCATCGTTGCTCACACGCTCGATACTCGCTTATAAACAATAAAGAATGACACCGGAGTGATGAGCATGGATACTCCCTGATTTTACTCACTATTATTGTAAAGATAGATAATCGAAACCTATCCAAAGAGATAGGAAGGATTTTGTATCAGAATCAAAAACATACAACACGCATGCGGGTAATTAAAAATACAAAATAGAGACAATTTACCCACGACAACCTGTATATAAACTTAATTTATTCGTGAACACTAATCTCAAACTGAACCTTTGCTAATGTTCTTTCCTCCCCTGAATGGCGTTGTTTTTTGGGGTTTTGTTTTGTTTTTGCTTACGAGAGTAGGATTTTTTCTAAGCTTGGTGGACGAACATGCGTTGCCTGTTGGACTGTTACATTTGAACTGATTTGGCTACAAGTGTTGAGGATGAGAAACAGAAGAAACCTATTGCAAGCGTTTATTGTTACTACAGTTTACAGTTTTTTCTTTTCTCTACAACAACAGCAATACAACTGCAAAAGGATGTGCACTTATGATTTATAGATTGCGCAAAAACATTTGACAAGATATGGCACAAGGATCTATTTGAACTTCTAGAAAAAGAATATCTATTTGGAAAACATTTCATTTGCACTTGGTCGTAAAAATGCCAGGATGTTGCACATACTTCCCCGATCTTTTTGAAAAGGACGAGAGGTTTACCACTTTGTTACGTATTTAGAATTGTGTTTCCGTCTTACGTATTTTTAATTTTCTTTCATTCCTAATAGCCCCTTGCATCTTAGTGGCATTATCACCTTGCTTGGTGTGAATCGATTAAAAACAAAATTGCTGCAATCTTGTCAGATTTTTCCATAATTTGCTATTTTCTTTTTCCTTCTTGCGCTTATGTCTGTTAAGAAATCTCTAGACTAACAACTAGATTTACACATCCTGTAACAAATGTCAGAAAAAAAAACTTGACTTCCCCATCGTGATCAAACCATTTTGGGGAACTTACCTTTTATGCATCACTATGTGGCCTTTAAATCCAAAATGCTTACTCACAAACTTTGCTACAAACTGCGCAGGTGGTTCGTTTTGGGCGTTGAGGAAGTTTGTCGAACATCTGCAGCCTGCTTCTCCGAATTCGAATAAAAAGTGACTTGATTGACATGTCCTGCCTTCACAGTTCTTTATGTCATCAATCAGACTCGCTTCTGTGTTATGACGACATGACCGAGAAAAAGAAAAAAAAGCCGCAAGAACTTCCAGACAGGGAAGCGAAGAAAAGCGAAAACGGGAGGATTAACTATGAAATCTAAGATCATGAGACGTGCAGTTGTCAGCAAGAAAGGCAGATTTTTAACTTCAAATCGGAGATCAAGCAGTCACAGAACATAACAGACGACGAAAAAAGTGTCACAGAAAACCGAACGTACATCGGAAGAATAGAAAGATGCCTTCCAGAAACTTTTTCCGTCTGGAGGAGGCACGGTGGAGTAATGGATAGCGGCTTTGATTGAGGAATCGGAGAGCCGAGTTCGAATTCTAGTCGGATCCATTACATTCACTTGCTTGGGAAAGGTGTGAATCCTCTTCTTCTCCCCTACCGGCAGCAATAGGTAATAGCAGGACAAACTGGGTTCTATAGCCTTGGATGCAACCGGTCCAGGAGAAGATAACTCTGAATTCAATACCGAAGAGGGTTGGGCTCTGTCAGGATAACAGAAACACCACTTCTACTGTGGCTAAAGCACACATGGTGCTTTTACGACTCTACACGTTGACAAAAAGCTACATGGTAGCTACTCACCGTACCTTTGGCTAATCTTAACGGTGCATATAAGCTCCTATACCCTTATGATTTTCTAAGCGGGGATAAGGTGTGGCACAAGGCCGAACGTAAAGGGCACCCTGTGTTGATCGAACTCACTACTCAGACGTAATTGTTCTACGGAGAAAAGCTTTTCATCACGTCGAAATGCCCTCCTTTAGCCTTATGTGCTAAAGTAGCGGTAATACTGAAGAAAAGGTTGTCATTGGCAAAGGCAATACATCTAAGCTTACAGCAACTGGCATTTCCAGGCGATCATCCATCTAGGAACTGCTGGCAAACTCGGAAGGAAAACCAGAAAAACTCCAAGAGAATCTCGTAAAGAGAAGAGAAAAGAAAGAACTACTAAATCTAAGGATTTTATGGTTGTCTGTTAGAAAGGCAGCCAAAGATTGTAACTTCGAATAAGAGACATCAGAATCAAGCAGATCTGAGTAAGATGACAACAGACGATGAAAAGAGTGGAGCAGAAATCCGAAGACGGACAGAAAGATGCCTTCCAGAAACTTTGTGCAAAAAAGAACTCGAGTATAGTGCGTGTTTTTATGGTTATTTTTATGTTCATTTTTTACGCTAAAAAAATATGGGGTCGCATTATACAGAGTTTTTTTTTTATTTGCGCCCTATACACGGGTAATTTTTTTGAAGATTTTAAGCTACGTGGTAGGTCTATAACTCGAGTATAGTGCGTGTTTTTATGGTTATTTTTATGTTCATTTTTTACGCCAAAAAATAGGGGATCGCATTATACACATTTTTTTTTTTTGAGCGCCCTATACACGGGTTATTTGTTTGAGGATCTTAAGCTACGTGGTAGACCTAAATTCTCTCGGTACCTTTGGCTAACCATAACGGTGCAAGTAAGATCCTTTAGTCTTCTAGTGGTATTCTAAGCACGCCTTAGAAGTGGCACAAGGCCGAAAGCATGGGGCACCCCGTTAGGATCGAACTCATTACTCAATCGTAATTAATCTTTACGCGACAAGCTTGTTAACCCTTACACCACGGCGAAGTGCCAAAGTGATTTTCTAAGCGTAGCTTGGAAGTGGAATAAGGCCGAATGTATGGGACACCCAGTGAGGATCGAACTCACAACTCAGTCGTAATTAATCTAGCCATTACACCATGGCGAAATGCCCAAGTGAGTTTCTATGCGTAGCTTAGAAGTGGAATAAGGTCGAATGTATGGGACACCCAGTGAGGATCGAACTCACAACTCAGTCGTAATTAATCTAGCCATTACACCATGGCGAAATGCCCAAGTGAGTTTCTAAGCGTAGCTTAGAAGTGGAATAAGGCCGAATGTGTGGGGTACCAAGTGAGGATCGAACTCACTACTCAGACGTAATTGTTCTCTCGAGACGGGCTTGTTAACTCTTTCACCAAGTCGAGGTGCTCTTCTCTGGCCTTATATACCGGTAATCCGGGCAAAAAGTTTGACATTGAAAAGACAATACCTCAGCGATGTAAATACTTGCACATCTAAGCTTACAGCACCTGATATTCCCTAGCGGTCACTCATCAAGGTACTGACCAGGCTCGACGTTGCTTAACTTCGGTGATCGTACGGAAATTGGTGTTTCATCATAATATGGCCGTACGCTCAACAAAAGATACGCGGATGAAATGGTTCTAATGAAAAACTCAGAAGGAAAACCCACAGAAAATCCAAGAATTATTAAATTTACGAGCACGGGATGGATGGCTGTCAGTCAGGGAAGCAGCCAAAGATTGTAGCTTCGAAGTACAAATATCAGAATCAAGGAGATACAGAACTTTAACGAGATCTGGGTAATGTAGTAACAGACAGAGAAAAAGTGTGGTACAGAAATCCGAAGCTACATCGAAATAGCGGAAGACGTAGTCCAGAAATTACGCAAAAATATTAAGACAGGAAAATATCGTTAGAAACAAAGAAAAGATGTCTGAACTTTATCTTCCTATACAGCAGTTGTTACAGAGGTTGGTCCAGAATAGCATACTACTGGTCAGAACATCCAGTGGGCGTGGAATTATATGATAGTTAAGGATTGATTTTGTTTAAGTGTTTTATTTATTTATTTTTTTATGCAAGACCAAAAAGGCGCGAAAACACGGGCACGTCAAGAATTTGAAGTGCCAACATGTCTCCCACGCCGATATTCCTACATGAGGCAAAATCTGGACGTGGCGATGAAACTCTCTTGCCAAGAATTTGACATGCTCCCTGCCAATCGTCCTCTTCACGTTTCCTCCTGGAAACGATGTTGCAGCTACCGTTTCTCATATAATAAAACGAAAGAAGAAAAAAAAAAGAAAATTCTTTGTCGTTATTGCAGTATATGCTTATTTTCTAAGCGCTGCTTAGATCCAGATCATGTCCGAAAGCATAGGGCACCCAGTAAGGATCGAACTCACTACTTAGTCGTAATTGGTCTACCGAGACCAGCCGCATAATCCTTAAACTACATTGCAGTTCCCCCATTGACGTTGTATTTAAATGTAGCATTGGATTTTAAAGTATTGAAGCCAGACACAACACGAAAAGCAACACTGAATAAACTATTAGTCAGAAGATCGAGTGGACATGGAATTATGACAGTGACGATATTGACTTTGCTTAACTTTTTGATATAAGAGCAAAAAGGTGCGAAGTCAAAGAGAATGGGCCAAGAATCTGAATCATGATACCTACATGAGGCAAATCAGCGATGAAATTCCATCACGACTATTTGTATATGTTAGTCAATTGTGCATTAATGGTAGCAGCGTCAGTTACTTCCGGTTTGTTGTGTTATTCTAACGGCTACAACTTGGGCGGGATTGGTTATTTTAAATTATTCTAAAGGTCTATCTATATTTCTGAGATGAGGTATTATGTACACTATTTACATTATTCGGACTATTGTCCTCATCTTTGTCGCCATATTTATTACAACGTGTCGGCCTTTCAGTATCTGTCTATATTTCTGAGATGAAGTATTATGTACACTATTTACATTATTCGGACTATTGTCCTCATCTTTGTCGCCATATTTATTACAACGTTTCGGCCTTTCAGTATCTGTATATATTTCTGAGATGAGGTATTATGTACACTATTTACATTATTCGGACTATTGTCCTCATCTTTGTCGCCATATTTATCACAATTTCGGCCTTTCAGTATCTGTCTATATTTCGTATTTACACTATTTACATTATTCGGACTATTGTCCTCATCTTTGTCGCCATATTTATTACAACGTGTCGGCCTTTCAGTATCTGTCTATATTTCTGCGATGAAGTATTATGTACACTATTTACATTATTCGGACTATTGTCCTCATCTTTGTCGCCATATTTATTACAACGTGTCGGCCTTTCAGTATCTGTCTATATTTCTGCGATGAAGTATTATGTCACTATTTCATTATTCGGATATTGTCCTCATCTTTGTCGCCATATTTATTACAACGTGTCGGCCTTTCAGTATCTGTCTATATTTCTGAGATGAAGTATTATGTACACTATTTACATTATCCGGACTATTGTCCTCATCTTTGTCGCCATATTTATTACAACGTTTCGGCCTTTCAGTATCTGTCTATATTTCTAATATGAGGTATTATGTACACTATTTACATTATTCGGACTATTGTCCTCGTCTTTTTCGCCAGATTTATTAAAACGTTTCGGCCGTTATACGCTCAGGCTTTTTTCAGGTGGTTTGAATGTCGAGCTGAACCCTTTATTTCGCTCACTGGGGTAAACTGTTCTAGTCTCACGTACCATGTTTAATGGATGTCAGTTATCAGTTATCTGCTGTTGATTCCCCTCTCCAAGTTCTCCACTGCCTTAACCGGGTATTGAACTCTTTGAGTCCTGTCACTGGATTTAACAAACGCCTTTATCCACTGTGCCATGTGTCATGTAAAGAGGAGATAACTGATATCCATAACAAATATCCACTATGCACAAAACAACGAACATATAAAGAACTACCACTGCTGATCTTGAAATAGCAAGCGACCAATCAGAAACGCTCTACGTCACTTCCTCCTCAGTCAAGTCGAGACAAAAAAGAGAACAAACTGAATGCTTGTTTTTCCCTCTTTTCCCTTATACTAATATTCAGCCAATAAAAGGCCCAAGAGACAGTAAAGGTAGAGCGTTGCTGTATTTGTTTTTATGATTGTTGGAACACACACATACATACACAGACACACACACACACACACACACACACACACACACACAGATATATATATATATATCTTCGTCACCGAGGCCCATTTTGGAACAGTTGGTATGATGTTCGCTTGACAACCTAATTGTCAGGGTTTCAATTCTCGGTAGTGAATGCGCACTGCTGATGAGTCCCAAATATAGGACGAAACGGCCGTCCAGTGCTTCCTGCATTCTGTGGAGGTTTCTATCAGACTCGATGAATTAATATATATATATATATATATATATATATATATATATATATATATATATATGCATATTTGTTTGTAATGAATACCTCATCAGTAATGTTATGACTTGGGGTCATGACAAGTTTCGTGTCTTTCAACATCATATTTGTTTACCCAAGAGACCCTACCGGAACCATACTTATTCCGGCAGGTGATTCTGAAGTAAATTTCCACTAAGCATAAAACAACGGACATATAAATAACTGCCACTGCTGATCTTCAAATATCAAGCGACCAATCAGAAACGCCCTAAGTCACTGTCTCTTCAGCCAAAAATAGAACAAACTTAATGCTCGTCTTTTCTCTCTAATGTCCAACACACAGATTCATTAATAATCACTGTGGGATGGCTGCAAAAACATTTTCTCCCCAAATTTATAAACAAACCGTACAAATGCACGCTGGGGTTTCTTCCTAATGAATAAGGAAGACCACTTCTCGGTTTTATCCGCCATGTTTTTTTGTTTTCGTGTTTTTTTTTGTTTTTTGTTTTTTTTTTCTTGTCTTAAAGTCAGAACGCTGCGATCATGCGATCATTTGCTTTCTATTTCTTTTGTGTGTCAACACCATTCTTAGTTTGTGAACTTTTTTGCCTCATTAATGTTGTTTTGCCTGTCTCGCATATATTATTTTCTTCGTATTAATTTTTGCTCAGTTCATTATTCTTTTCTTGTTTATTTATTGCAAAATGTCTCAATTTTGTTTTGTTGGGCCTTTCTGCCAATTATTTTTAACCTTAGCTAATCAATCTACAACTGATTATCAATATTAAATTTATATAGTTGTGGGTATGTATTTGGGCAGTTTCTATGTTTATTTTGGTGGATAGCTACGGAATTTGTACGTTTTCAAATGTTGTTTATTTTAAATATATTACATTATCTGCGTTATACATAATACATATATTTGCATTTTTCTTACTGATGTTTTACAAGATATCAGTTTTTAGTTTCACATTTTTAAGTAACGAAGTAAAACATTGTTTTCCTGTTTACATTTTGAGATAAGTTCTGATATTTTATTTAGTAATTAGTGTTGATCCGAAGAATGATAGTTACTGTTATAGGCTGGTGCTCTTTTTTTCTTTTTTCTTTTTTTTTTTTTTTTCATTATATTTTTGTTGTATTGTGGCTTAAAAGTTTTAAAGTTCACATATATGTTTGGATAGTGTTGTGCTGTTCTCATATTTGCTGTTGTTCAAAAATGTTTGATGCGTTATCTGCTGTTCTTATGGTGGCATGGTGTATTGCTTTACAGGTAATTGCAGTTTAAGCGACATTCACGATTTGTTCTGTAGTTACAGATGAGCGGGGGAGTGGATTTGTTAGATATTTTTCTTGTGTTTTTTTTTTTTTTTTTGTTATCTAGGTCATGTTCTCCGTGCAACTATAGCTAATTCTTATTGTGTTTCTGTTGTATGTTTTGTGGACAGTGCTTGATTGAGGGAAGTGTCTGTGGACATATATTTATATGCGCATATGTGTGTTGATTGGTTCGTTTTACGACGCCAACTCTTGTTAGGTTAATAATTTTGTATGGGGCACCCAGTGAGGATCGAACTCACTACATACTATTGGTGGTCAACCAGAGTAACCTCGCTAACTATTACTTGACACCGTGGCACCACATGTGTGTCAGGGCCGATGAGTACAACACCTGAACCCTGGACCAAGCCTGATTGGGGGCCCGAGCAGTACTTACTTTTTCTACCTCCGTTGCAAATTAAAATAAGCACGCCTGACTATTAAGATGACAGATTTTCGGGGATTTTGACGTCATTCTAGAGTTGGGGATTCAAATCAGTGAATTTGTTTTGCTCATCTTAAAAAAAAAGGTATATAAGATTTACTATTTCTTATACATAATGTTGAATGTGTTAAATTATTCAACTCTTTAACAACAACAAAAAACTCAAGTTAAAAAATTAAAAATTGTCACAAATCATTGTTAATTTATTTAAGATGGAATCATCTCTTATGACATGTCACTAATTATATACATTTTATCTATGTTCTATTTTTTCTATCTGAATTGATCACATATATTGCATATGATCCATTGTTATATTTAATTAGGTTACAGTATATTTTGTATTTTATATAAATACTACCTTACGACAATTGATTTGTAGTAGACTGGTGGGACGTGTCATTGATTCGCGTGGATAGCGTATCGTAGATTCTGGTGCCCGGGCACATCAACCCTGATGTGTGTGTATGTGTGTGTGTGTGTGTGTGTGTGTGTGTGTGTGGTTCGGATATGTCTATATGTCTATGAAGCAACATTAGACCAATAGTATAATTATTTACCCTCTGCCCTACGCAGCAAGATGTGGCACAAGGCCGAGTTTAAAGTGGGGTATCCGAGCCCGTAGGCTCGGGCAAAAATTCCCTACAGACCACGTAAAAACGGAGTCAGTTTCCCGAGACGAGACTCCGCCCCTCGGCAGAGCCTCGTCTGGGGGATACCCTACTGTTTTCAGTGAAATAAAATAAAAAAAGGCCCGTTAATCTACCATAGACTAAGTCAGTTCCGGTCCAAAAGTTATCACTGTAGAGCGAACTTAATTCATTTTTTTGTTTGTTTGCTTGTTTGTTTGTTGTTTGTTTCTTTCTTTCTTTTGTTTTTGTCCCGTTTTTGGCAAGACAAAATAATTTGTTGGATTGTCATTTGGCGGACTTTTATTTTATTTATTTATTTTTTCAATAATGTCTGTCATATTCTGCTCGTAAGAAATACGGGCTGAAAACTTTTTCTTTACTTTTTTTTTTTTATTTTTTTATTTATTTATTTATTATTATTTTTTTTTTTGTATTAAAACCCTGACACTTTCTTTTTGACTCAGTTTGTATACTTGATTCGGTAGCCGGACCTCAAGGCAAAGAAAAAATAAGCCACCAGAAGCGACAGAAAAAATAAATAAGCAAATGAATAAAACAGACGTTTAAAAAAAAAAAACTTCTTTTTTTTTTAATATATGGCGTTCGTTACGTGATAAAAATCAGAAAACTTATACACCAATATGTCGACACTAAAATCTGTCTTGTGTCAGAAAGAAGGGAAAAAAGAATTTCTATGATAGCTTCTTTTCCTCTAATAAAAAAAAGATGGAGCTGTATCAAAACACACCAGAGAATTGAAAAATATCAGCGTGTGTCTGTGTGTCCGAGTCTTTTGTATAGTTCTTTCAAAGAAATTGTTTACGAGTTAATAGGAAAGATGTGAAATATCAGAAAGTGGGGGGGGGATGATAATTTCTGAATCTTTCTGCGTACGTATATATATATATACAAATATATATATATATATATCGATAGATAGATAGATAGAGATAGATAGATAGATAGATAGATGCCAATAGGTATACCTATATATGCACTTTGAAATAGATAGATAGATAGATAGATAGATAGATAGATAGATAGATAATGAGCAGACTGACATAGATAGATAGATAGATAGATAGATAGATAGATAGATAGATAGATAGATGCCAATGGGTATACCTATATATGCACTTTGAAATAGATAGATAGATAGATGATAGATAGATAGATAGATTGATTGATAGATAGATAATAATGAGCAGACTGATAGATAGATGAATGATAGATAGATAGATAGATAGATAGATGATAGATAGAATGCCAATAGGTATACCTATATATGCACTTTGAAATAGATGATAGATAGATAGATAGATAGATAGATAGATAGATAGATGCCAATAGGTATACCTATATATGCACTTTGAAATAGATAGATAGATAGATAGATAGATAGATAGATGAGATAGATAGATAGATAGAGAATGACATAGATAGATAGATAGATAGATAGATAGATAGATAGATAGATAGATAGATGCCAATAGGTATACCTATATATGCACTTTGAAATAGATAGATAGATAGATAGATAGATAGATAGATAGATAGATTGATAGATAGATAGATAATGAGCAGACTGACATAGATAGATAGATAGATAGATAGATAGATAGATAGATAGATAGATAGATAGATAGATAGATGCCAATAGGTATACCTATATATGCACTTTGAAATAGATAGATAGATAGATAGATAGATAGATAGATAGATAGATAGATGCCAATAGGTATACCTATATATGCACTTTGAAATAGATAGATAGATAGATAGATAGATAGATAGATAGATAGATAATGAGCAGACTGACATAGATAGATAGATAGATAGATAGATGGATAGATAGATGCCAGATAGGATAGATAGATGCACTTTGAAATAGGATAGAGATAGATATAGATAGATAGATTTGAAAGATTGATAGATAGATAGATGAGCAGAGATAGATAGATAGATAGATAGATGATAGATAGATAGATAGATAGATAATGAAGACTGACATAGATAGATAGATAGATAGATAGATAGATAGATAGATAGATAGATAGATAGATATTTTCCCTGACACTAAAATAACTGGGTAGAGAACAAGTTCATTTGAAATCTGCGAGCGTCAGATAAAAAAAAAAAAAAAAACTGTTTAAATCTTAAATTGTGCTGTCTTCTCTTTTTCCGTATTCGAGGACACCATACATTCGGGCCAACACAGTACTCATCAGGTATTTTAAGGTGTATACATGCGCGTCTTCGTATCCTTCTGCGCAGGCGCAGATCTTTTCATTGATATCTACCTATTAAATTGATACAAAAAGATGAACAGCGCCCTCACTTGACACAAATAAAAACCACAGCAGCGCTCATTTTCCCAATTTGTACGCTTGTCAAACGCGTCCTTACAAAAGGCTGTCTTCTTTTCAAATGCTATCTTTCATTCATTTTCTATATATTTTTGTTTTGCTTCTTTCATTTTTTTTTTCTCGTGTTCTTTCGTTATTTACTTCATTTTTTTTTACCTGAATTTTTTTTCTTGTTTATTTTCCTTACATTTCCTTTTTCGTTTCTTTAAATCAATTCCGTTTTATTTTTATATTTTGTTCGTCTTTCCGTATTTTCTTTCTTTGTTTCTTTCATCATTTGTCTTGTTTTTTGTTTTTTTTCTTTCACTCTTATTTATTTCGTCGGGTTTTTCTTTCTTTCTTTTTATGATTGCTAGTCGACATTGTACTCTTTCTCTCCCTCCTCTTCCTCTTCACTTGTCATTTCTCATTCCTCCCTCCCTTTCTTTTCTTTCTTTCTTTCTTTCTTTCTTTCTTTCTTTCTTTCTTTCTTTCTTTCTTTTTTTCTTTTTTTCTTTCTTTCTTTCTTTATTTCCCATTTACTAAGCTTGGCTGCCCGTGACACAAAGTCAAACACGAGAGATAGCGCAGAGGAAAAATAATTTTTCTTCAGTCTTGTAAGTGAGAACGGCCTACGAAACTTTCGAAATTCGAACTTTTATTTCGCTATTTAACAATCAATCTGTTGCAAAAGTTCGCAGGATTTTTTTTTTTTTAACAATTCATATAGATTCATATCCTCGATATTCAGCCTTGCTCACAGCTAAATCATGTTGGAACAACAGTTCCCGTACGATCACCAAAGTTAAGCAACGTCGAGCCTGGTTAGAACCTAGTTAGCTGACGGCTTAGGAATACCAGGTGTTGTGAGATTGGACGTACGGATCATGTAATGGATAATGGTTCGGAATTATTAATCGGACAGCCGAGTTCCAATCCCCTTACCTTTGGGTAATCCACCTCTGAATTTAACGTGGTATGATTCGACCTCATATACTCCCAGCAATGGGCTAATTAGTAATACTTGTATCACTGAAACATTATTATCGTCAAAAAAAATTTACAATTTAAAAGGTTTTCTGGATTTAAAGCCTGCAAATGGTTTGATAAGTCGTAGAAATCGATTCGAATAACCAATCTTCAATGTTATAAATATTTTGCCCTGTTTTCTATGGCCTTGCACCAGATTTCAACTTAATTACGTATTCCATCATTCCGGAAACGAATTACGATTTTCATTTGATTAGTCGGTATCATCATCATCATCATCTTCATCAATGTAATCATCATCATCATCGTAATCATCTTCATTGTAGTCATCACCATCACCATCATCGTCATCATCTTTATCATTGTAATCATCATCATCGTCATCATCTTCATCATTGTAGTCATCATCATCATCGTCATCATCTTCATCATTGTAATCATCATCATCATCATCGTCATCATCTTCATCATTGTAATCATCATCATCATCATCATCAACAGCAATCCCCTGACAAGGTGTGGCCGGAATGTTGCTGTGCACCTGAACACCTGAGCACCTGACCAGGTCCTTCTATATAATTGGGTTAAAAGTTGAAGAGGTATTCATTCATGTGTAGCGTGTCTTTGGGAAAAAAACCTGGCGGAGTCCATTCCTCTTCAATTTGAACTACTGCTGATCTCCTCTATTTCGAAGGCTCACCGCCTTGGCCGTTGACTTCAGTCTAAGAAGCCTTCCTCCCAGCGACGCCGGGTTATCACCGGACTGTCTGTATATATGTCGCTATGGATCGCAATCTACTCCACTGTGCTAGATGACCGTTGAACCCTACAAGTAAGTGCAACCGCCTTTTAACAGGTCTTAATTCGAATTCCAATAGGTATTTAGCCATCCTCATCACCATCAATACCTGGTAGCGAAACTGATTTAGTAACTGATGACCCAATTATGTGTCACATAGCAACTTTTTCGGTAGATTGTTGGTTGGTAAGAAAGAAAGAAAGAAAGAAAGAAAGAAAGAAAAGAAAGAAAGAACGAGACTGCACAAGTGAAAGAATTAAAGAAAGGTTTTAACCGAACTAAAGTAAGGAAAAATTGAATAAGGAAATATTTGTAAAAGACCGAAAATTTTCAGACAATTAAAAGGATAAAAAATCATGGAAAAATAATGAAAAAAGAAAGAGGATTTATACTGAAGAAAGAAAGAAAGAACGAAAAGTAAAGAAAAAGGCAAGAAATGAAAAAGATTTATACTGGTAAAAGAAAGAATTAATAGAAAAACGAAAAACAAAGAAAGAAAGAAAGAAAGAAAGAAAGAAAGAAAGAAAGAAAGAAAGAAAGGAAGGAAAAAGATTCATACTGGTGAAAGAAAGAAAGAATTAATAGAAAAACGAAAAGACAAAAAAGAAAGAAAGAAAGAAAAAAAGAAAAGGGAGAGAAAGGAAAAAGATTTATACTGATGAAAGAAAGAATTAATAGGAAAAAGAAAAGACAAAGAAAGAAAGAAAGAAAGAAAGAAAGAAAGAAAGAAATGAAGCATTGCAATTCTCATAAATAAAATGCAAAAAATATGAATGAAAAAAAAACCTAAATGAATATAAAATAAAGAAGCAAAAAAAGAAGAAAAAAAGACTGAGAAATCACATAAATGAATTTAAAAAGGAAGAAGAAAAAAGAATAAAAGATACATTGCCAAATGGTATAAATTAATCGAAAAAGAGAATGAAGGAATTCTGTTAAGAAAGAAAGAAAGAAAGAAAGAAAGAAAGAAAGAAAGAAAGAAAGAAAAAGCAAAAGAAAGAAAGAAAAGAATGAATGAATGAATGAAAAAACAAAAGAAAGAATGAAAAAACAGCGGAAACATTACCAAATTGCGTAAATGAATTATGTAGCAGAAAATACCAGGTTACAAGTTACCATTGACATTCGTACTTTAACCTGGTATAAATTCAATGAATGGAGCAATTTTTTCGTTAGGTTGTTGGTTGGTTGATTTTAAGACATATTAATACTTGTTGAGTTATCAAATATCGAATATTTTATGGAGAACCTAGTGAGAATACAATACCAGATCCTTTGTTTACTTTCATTCAATGGTCAACGATTTCACTGAAAAGATGAATCTCTATTTTTCCTGGGTAGTTTCGCCGCATTTTCCTCCAAAATTATCTGTTTTCAAATTCTGAAGTGTTTTAGTGCAGAATCTAATTTTTTGAATTTCGTGAACCATTTCTCAAACGGGCTTGAATCTGATGGTTGGTTGGTTTGGTTGTTTTTGTTTAGCGGCAGATCAACACCTCTATGGGTTATTTAATACCGAAATCTAAATATTTTGTACACAACTATATTTCGGTGGTGGGGGAGATAATAATGGTTTTAATGATACAAGTCTTACTAATTAGCCCATAGCTGGGGGCAGAATAAGTGGATTCATATCTTTCCCAAGGGTATTTGCGTGTAAGCCAATAAAACGAACCCAAATAGAATTGCAACTCGGCTCGCCATAATCCATTACACAACCTGTACATCCAAGCTTACAGAAACTGGTCGCTCATCTCGGTACTGACCAGGCTCGATATTGCTTAACTTCAGTGATCGTACGAGAACTGGTGTTTCAAAGTAATGTGGTCGTAAGCTTGAATCTACTATATTATTCCTCCGGCCATCTTCAGGTGGTTGGAATGTCGAAATGAACCCTTTATTGGAGAGGGGAATTAACAGGAGATAACTGACATCCATGAGACATGGCACGTGGAAATAGAACGGTCTACCCCAGCGAGCGAAATAAAGGGTTCAGTTCGACATTTCAACCACACGAAGAAGGTCGGAGAGTATAATAGCCGAAACGTTGTGATAAATATGGCAACAAAGATGAGGATGATAGTCCGAACAATGTAAATAATGTACATATAATACCTCATATCAGAAATATAGACAGATGTACAACTGTGTATAAAAATATATATATATACATATAAATTTTATCAATGAAACGGGGGGCGATGACCCTGAAAAAGAAGGAATGATGTTGGTAAGAAAAAAAAAATAAGAGCGACCGCTATATTTTGCCTTCCGCCAAAATTGTTGTAGAGTAGCTAGCACCCCTTCACCACCCTATAAGATTGCCTGACTCATAGCCTTAAATACACTACGATTAAGGACTTCAACAGTTGATTAATAAGTTGATACTAAGCTGATTAATATTCGGACTGCTCTTACTTTGTTTGGCTATACAACATTCGGACTGATCTTACTTCGTTTGACTATACAGCATTTGGACTGATCTTACTTCGTTTGACTATACAGCATTTGGACTGATCTTACTTCGTTTGACTATACAGCATTTGGACTGATCTTACTTCGTTTGACTATACAACATTCGGACTGATCTTACTTCGTTTGACTATACAGCATTTGGACTGATCTTACTTCGTTTGGCTATACAGCATTTGGACTGATCTTACTTCGTTTGGCTATACAGCATTTGACCCTCCTTTATTCCTTGTAAGTTGTCTTTTTAATTGCTTTGTAAATTATTATTCTGTGTTTTTTTTGTTTGTTTTTTTGTTGTTTTTTTTTTTTTGTTTTTTATTGTAGCAGTTAGCACCGGATACCGGTGCTGAATAAATATATTAAGCACTCATTCTTCTCGGTGTATCATTCATCTCGATGATACAACAAAAATCAAGATGCTCTCTAGCTAAGATGGGTAATAGAAAATTCAAAAACTGACTATGTGTCTCAGGGATCCAATGCTTAACTTTCGCCGCATGTTTTCTTAGACTGAACACAAAGTGCCAAGTGCCTCTTGAACACATACTGTCGGGTGTAGCATTTATATATGACCATGGCATTTTACAGGAATAAAGTGTTTTTTTTTAAATAACCTGTTTGTTTTCTTCATTCAAAATTCGGACAGAACTTATGGGATGATCTGATATATGTTCCATCCAGTCGTCTTTCAGCACGAACAGATAATGTCCAAATTTCTGATTCATACAGATGGACTGGTTCAATCAATGGTCGAAAGGTTTGGACTTTTAAGGTTTATGGAAAGTTCAAGCGCCAAATTTTGTGAAGTTTTTTACACGCATTCCACGGAAAGCAAACTGCAAGAACTACTACGAAAGACAATGAAGAAAAGGATGCATATCTACGTTTTATAGATTATTGTCATGGGTCCTTGCCTATAACTACAGAATGAACTCTTCCTAACACTATGTATACTACGCCTCTCAAGAGAGAGGGACGAATCAACCGAGCTTCTCGGCTTGACGGTCGAACTCTCTGCCTCTGAGCAGAGAGGAACCCGGACGAGGCTCCGCCGAAAGGCAGAGTCTTGATCGGGGAGGTTGACCAAACCGATCCCGTTTATACGGGTTCTACGGGCATTTTTTGGCCGAGCCTACGGGCTCGGGAAACCCACGTTAAACTCGGCCTTGTGCCACATGCAACCCTCGTGGGGGGGGGCTAGATACCGAATCGAGTCAAGCCGATAGTAGTTCACTCCAAACCAGACTGACAGTCATACTAACACCTTCCACATCTTGTATTATTATTTCGTGTAATATACCTTCGTTATTTCTACTCTTGTGTTCGTGTTTTTCTTCCTTGGTCCTAACCTGGACCATAACAATTATGAAAAAGTGTTTTATAAGATACACCACAAACGACTGTTGGAAATGATAGGGAATCATGACTAATTTGGGAAAAATATTAAAATATTCCCTAACTTATACTGGGAGTAAACCCCTTGTATACGGATAGAAAATATTCTCAGATAATTCTCAGCTATGTGCCATGCGTGATACACGCTTAGGCGATCATGTATCTTTCGATACATAACCTTTCCCAAGGGTCAGTCAATCATGTGCTATGCGTGATACACGCTGAGGCGATCATGTATCTTTCGATACATGACTGATGAGGCAGATTTTTCCCGCATTAGGTTGGCATTTCTTTCTGCGGTAGACCAGTTGCCATCCAAGGCTACAGAACCCGGTCTGTCCTGCTATTTACCCATAACTGGGGGGAGAAGAGGATTCATACCTCTCCCATGGGTATTAGCACGTAATTCGAACTCGGCTCTCCGATTCCTCAACCCGAGCCGCTATCCTTTACTCCATCGTGCGTCCCAATTCAGTTAATATATAAAAATAAAAATGACAATGATATGTTGTCTCACCGGACTTATTTCACCTATACAGTGATGCGGCCCTGAGAGAAATAGAAATTATTCCAAGATTTATTGTTGGCGGCCACAGTCTTAACGACATTTCAATTCTCTATTTATAACGTGTAAGCCACCAACCAAGGGAGGTAACGCAATCTCGGTAGCTATGGCGGTACTGCCACCCCTGGCGCCACCAGCAGCTTTTGCCACCGGACAGGGTATTGTGTTTATATATATGTCAGTCTCTTGCGATTTCTTTTTACAACTGCAACTGAAATTTCCGACGTTGTGTTAAAATACACAACGGGTTCGCAGCGAACGTTATTAATGGCGTAGAAATGGGAGGTAAACAGGTGTGTAGCATTTTGTTCCGAGCGTGGTTTAATTAACTTTATTTATTTTGGATCTTGACCAGATATATACAGAGCACACGGTGTTGATAGCAGAGATAGAAAGGAAACTACAAGCACTCCTAGAGAAATTAGTGAAGAAAGGCGGGAAGAAATATATAAAAATCAATTGCAAGAAGACGGAACGTATGGCTGTTAGCAAAAGAAAAATCTGAAGAAGCGAATTACGAATTGGATATACTAAAAACCAAAAAAGTACAACAATTTAACTATCTGGGAAGTCTTTTAACAGAGTACGGAAAGTGTAGCACTGAAATACGAAGGCACATTGGAACAGCGAAATTTGCGTTCTAAAAGCTAAGCAACGAAACAGAAAAAAATTTTGTTAGAATCAAAGAAAAGAGTACTAAAGTGTTACGTGATAGCTGTCTTCCTGTAGTGAGTGCTGGACAATCTCCTCAGAGATGAAGAAGAGACGTGAAGCAACAGAAACAAAGAAAGTGTGCTGAAATGCTATGTAGCATCGGTCTTTCTGTATGGCAGTGAATGATGGACAATCTCCTCAAAGATTAAGAAGAGACTTAATGCAACAGAAATGTGGTTCTACAGTAGGATGCTAAGAATACAATGGACTGAACGCGTGAGCAACAATGAAGTTTTAGTTAGAGAAAATAGAAACAAAAAGGACCCTTATGCTTAAAATAAGATGATACAGTTGAAATTTATAAGGCACATAATGAGAAGAGACGGTTTGGAAAAACTGATACTCACAGAATATATTGAATGCAAAAAAAAACAGAGGTAAACAGTGTATAACCTACTTAACGAGCTTGTGCAAATGGTTGACAGGAGATGGATATAGCGAAAAGACAAAATTTACTATGAGATACAAAGGACATGAAATTGTGGAGAGCCATGATCGCCCACATCCTGAAAGAAAAAAAAGACAATGATCAGTTCCTTACACAGCTCTATGTCATGTTCTATATTTACAAGAGTCAGATTAGACCAAAAATGAAATGAAAGAGTACTAAACTGTTACGTGAAGTGTTTAAACAGAAGATGGAAAGTGCGATCATGAAATTCGTAGACGGACTGAGACAGCGAAAGATGCTTTGAGCGAAGAATTAAAAACCAGAAAAATGTTAGAAATGAAGAAAAGAGTACTGAACTGTTACTCGATATCTGTCCTCCTGAAGGCTTGGAAAATTTGATACTCACAGGACAGATTGAAGGCAAGACGGACAGAAGAAAACAACACATAATATGTTTAGTGTGCTTAGGCAAATGGATGGTAGAACCAAATTTAGGAGAAATGACAAGACAAAACTTATTAAGAGCGGCAAATAACAGACCCCCTCCATCTCACAATTGCGATTCATACTGACATTCAGCAGAGCAATGGCTTGCCGGTTCCTTTAGATCAGGAAATATTCAGGTTACTCCATCTCTCATCGCATAAGTTAAAGAGGCAATTCACTCTCCTTTGGTCGTTGTATAGTTCTTTCTTTTATTTTATTCATCACAGCTTACAACGATAGAAGGTTAAAATCATATATAAGGATTATTATAGGTTTTGCTTTTCGCTGAGATGCTACGCCCTATCTATCTTCTTATATGACAGTGAATGCTGGAAAAGAACAGCAATTTAAATATCGGGGAAGTGTTTTAACAGAAGATGGAAAGTGCGATCCTGAAATTCGTAGACGGACTGAGATAGCGAAAGATGTTTTGAGCAAAGAATTAAAAACCAGAACAATGTTGTTAGAAACAAATAAAAGAGTACGGAACTGTCACATTAGACCTGTCCTCCTATATGGCAGTGAATGCTGGACAATCTCCTCACAAATAAAGAAGAGACTTGAAGCAGCAGAAATGTTGTTCCGAGAAGGGTGCCGAGGATACCATGGACCAAACACGTGAGCAACGACGAAATTTTAGTGAAAATGGAAACAATAGTAAAAACATTTACTTAACATCAGGTAGAGGCAGTTGAAATTTCTGGTGCACAGAAATGAGGGTTTGAAAACTTTGATACTCACAGGACCGATTGAAGGCAAGACGGACAGAAGAAAACAACACATAATATGTTTAGTGTGCTTGAGTAAAT